CAGTTCAGAAGTCTAAGGAGGAATTTAAAATTACCACATTTCAGAGGGGTGACCAAGGTATATTTATCAATGTAGAGAGACTGAACATATTTTACTTAATAGCTTATTAGTGTGATGTACAACTTTCAAATGGCCTCTATCCGTATTCTGGCCCCAGGTCCCCCGATGTTTAGAACAGGAACAAGGAGGTCCTAGATGTGGCTCTTATCTAGGCTGTAAGGAAGACAGTGAAGTCTGTGTTGCTGCATCTCCAACACCCCACACTTAGGCCCTGAAATGACAAGTTATTTTGTTATGCCGATAGCTTCTGAGGGCTAGGGACGCGGAATGTGTGCGTGTAGGGACAGCTTGTTGGAGCCTGGGGACTCCCTTGGGAGCATTTGAAGGCTGTGGCCATGGCTTGGTCCCTGGCAGACACCCACACTCATGTGTCTGCAGCTGACACAAGCTTTTGGTCAGAACTCTGCTGCCCTTGTGGGATGCGGCTTTCACCAGGCTCCCTTGGGGCCTGGGCATCCTCACAGCCTGGTGGCTGGGTTTAAAATTGAGCACCCTGAAAAGCACCAGGTGAGGACTGTCATTCATTCTAGTATGACCTAGCCTTGGAAATCACACAGCATCCCTTCTACCACAGTGGTGGAGCCACCCCAATTCAAGTGGAAGAAATATAGAGCTCCCTCTTTGTGGGAGAAGTGTCAAAACACATTGCATGCAGGGCCCGAAGGGTGAAAGATATTGTCATGGTACATCTTGAAGATGCAGCCAGTCATGGTATCCATTGTCCAAGAAGGCACAATAGACAGGGATTCAGGAAGAAGCTGCTGATGCAGGGTTTCCATGAGGATATTGTAAGTTAAGTTAAAGGCTTAGAATCATGCTTTGGCATATGACGAGACTCCCTGAATAGCAATGCAGTTTTCATTGCTAACATCATCATCATCGTCATCATCATCATCTTCGAGAGATTCATGAAGATGGTTTGATTACCTACAGGAGGGATGAAACTGAGGCCTGGATAAATTAGGTGATGTTTTGAGTGTCACCAAACATTTCAGTGATCATTTTGTGTTTGAACTTGAGTTTCTGCTTCCTACTAGGAAACTCTACACTGCTGGTTCAGGGATCTTGTAAAGAATGAGTCCTGCATTCTAAGAGTTTAAATCAGCATCGAGGACACTGCATCCCAGTCACTGCTTTTGTTTGTCTGATATTAATGACTCTAGAGAGCATTTTGTAGGTGGATTTTTCAGGCATCCTTTAAAAAATGACACCCACCCCCCGCAACACAACCATAAAAGTTCTATAATAAGATTCACTAATTGGTTGACTTAGATTTTTTTTAAAAATTAGACTTTTTAATTTGGAGACAGTGTTTTCTATGGCAGTTAGCAAAATGAGTTTGTAGGAGGAAATATTTACTAGAACAACTAAACTTTGTGCAAATACTACACAATATATGAAATGGGAAAACTGTTCATTCAATCCTATCTCAAGAATTTGGAAATGTAGTGGTTCTTTTATCTGTGGTTCACTGCCTACAATTTTAGTTACTGCTGGTCAGCTATGGTTCCAAAATATTAAATGAAAGATTCCTGAAGTAAACAACTCGTATGTTTTAAATTGAGAGCTGTTCTGAGTAGTGTGGTGAAATCTCATGCAGGAGGTCGTCAGAGAGCAGCAGTGGGCTCTGCCATGGCCGCCTCCTGGGGCAGAGTCCCTGCCCTACACTGCAGGACCCCATGAACCATGCCAGCATTGCCTTCTGCATAGTTAAATTGATGTGTATCCAGTATAATAAAGGAAGAAACATTAAAACTTGTTTAGCTGTTGTATTCAAGAATCGAAATTTGTGAAGAATTGAGCCATACTGAGTAGAACTTAATAAAATTCAGAATAAATGTTCTGCTTGGGACATGAATTACTCCCTTGTCCAGGGTGTCCTCACCGTGTATACTGTCTCCCCTCTAACTGCTCAGTAGCTGTCTCAGTTATCAGGTTGAATGTCACAACATCAGGGCGCTGTGTTCAAGGTACCAGTATTTAAACAACCACTGTCCCAAATCACAAGAGTAATGATGTTGGCAATTCATACATGCCAAAGCGAAGCCATAAAGTGCTTCCTTTAAGTGAAAGGTAGAAGTGTTTGACTTAAGGAAAGAAAGAAGTCATAGGTTGCTAAGATCTACAGGAGGAATGAATCTCCCATGAAACTGTGAGGAAGGGGAAGGGAATTTGTGCTAGTTTTGCTATCTCATTGCAAATTGATGCACGGTGTGGTGGGTGCTTTTCCTAGGATGGAAAGGTCCTCAGTGGCAGTCCTACATTATCTCCCATTGCAAGCCTCCCCTAGAGGTATTGGAATGGTTCCCCGGCGAAAAGGAGGGCCATACTGTACTCTCTTATTTGATGGTGTTTAGCTTTTAAAAACTAAGCAATTTCTTTAGAGGATCTTCTATAATTCCAACCATCCCTCACAAATTAATTTTTCCATAAAGACCTGACATTTTAAGCTTGTGTCTAGCCTGCGTGTTTTGTTCACATTTGTTTCAGGTTCAAGTTAAAAGAGCTGATCTTTCCTGGAGGGAACAGGAATGGCCTAACCAAAGCAATCAATACTGAGTCATGTTCAACCAAGCAGGGCTAAGGACAGGGCCTGAGGGGAGGGGGTAGGGGTGAGTCAGATGTCAGTCTGACTTCTCCCCTGGGGAACTTCAGTGTTTGCTGTGGGGCTCCAGAAGCAATTTGAGGTGCCGGGAATGTAGGTGAGCACAACTTTATGTAACCACCCGCTTTCTGTTTTCAGCTGGGAGCTCAGGTCAAAGGTAACTATTCATAGAGGTTGTCCATCCAGACTGGGCCCGGGACCTGTCCAAAGAGTCAGAGTCCAGCTGACGTTGGATGTCCCCTGACTGTCAACAGAGGAGGGGGCGGTGATGAAATCCTCCCCTCAAGTCTTCTAGGCAGAAACTGCAGCTCAACTGTGGACATCAACCATGGGGTCTTCCTTTCTGAGGAAATCTGCTGGAGCCAAATAGCCTGGGATTGTCATTTACTAACTATATGGTCATGAGCGAGTGTGCCTCAGTTTCTTCAAATTGAAAATGAGGATGAGAGGAGCATTCACTACAAAGTTTCCTAGGAGGTAAAATGAATAATATAGGCAAAGATCTTAGGACACTGTTCTGCCCATCGCTAGACCTCAGTCCTCAGTAGATGCTGTTCTTTCTTCACCTCCAATACGTACTGCAGCCAGGTATTGAGAATTTACCACATGGAGGAAGTCGTGTTCGGCTAGCTGTGGGTTATTTCATTTTGTCTTCACAATAACTTCATATGGTCAATATTTTCTCCCCATAACGTAGATGAGGAAAGTGAGGTGCAGAGAAATTTCATTTTGCTCAAGGTCACACATTAATAGGTACAAGAAATGGAATTCTCAGCCAGTCTTGTCTGGCACAAAAACTTGTGATTGTCACCACCACATGATGCTGTGATCAAAACAAAACAAAATAAAGCAAAGCAAAAAAAAACCAAAACAAAAACCCCCTGTCATTAGCATGGTTGGCATTCCTTGAGGAGGTTACCAGGTTGTTCCTAGATGACATGCTCTAAAATGGCATTTCTGACTGTATATTTTCCTATAGCATTTTCTTTAAAGGGCCCTGTGGTAACTGAAGTTATCATATCCCAACTACTTTTCCATAAAAATCTGAAATTTTAAGCTTTTGTTTGGCTTGTGTGTTCTGTGTTGCTTTGGGTTAGCATCGAAAGAACGGATCTTTCCCACATGGGCGGTAAAACCAGACTGATCAATACTCATTGATCTGATGTGAAGCTGTGTGGAGAAGACACTTAGGAAAGGCTTTCTATTCCGGCTGTGACTGTCACTGCACTCCAAGCTGGTGCCTCAGACGGGCCCGTAGTGAGGTGGCTGGGACCCCGCACACGGGGGTGAGCCATGTGTGACAGGCAGCTGGATAAAGCTGCAGGTGCAGCTTGTGGTAGCGGTGGGGGGACCAAAGCCCCTCACGTGAATCCTGAAGCTCCCAATTTCCACCCAGTTTTCCAGGAAAGTCCGAGCAGGTGACTTGTTTGGAGGCCAGTGAAACAGGGCTGAGCTACCTTTCCGACTGCACCTCCCTCCCTCCCTCGCACTTCTCTTTTCCCTCTCAGCCTACAAGGGAAGATTGATAGCTGGAATGGAAAAACCCACGGTGTGGTCTGGGGTGGGGGATCCTCCTTCCTCCTCTGTTTGTTTAAAGATAAGGAGGCCTTTCAGGCCACGTGGGGCCAGCCGTGTAACCATGACCGTATGAATGGGGACAGAAAGTACCTGCTTTCCAGGGCTGAGTGGGGAGGGACATGGGTCCCGGGCCAAGCTTCCCCAAACCCATCCATCTAAAACTGTTGCCTTTTAAGTGTGTATTCTAGGGTCTCACACCCCATGGATTTTTCTTTTTCTTTTTAAAGTTTTTAAAAGTCTCTTGTATTTCTACTACAAAGAGATCCGGGGGTCTCATATCTGCCCAAAACACTCCCTGTTCCAAAGACAAAAAAGTCATTTTTTTTCCTTACTGGAATTTTTTCATTCCTTCCCACCCACCCCACCCCCATTTCTCATTTCCTCAGGAAACCATTTAGCTGGAGACAGAGGGAAAGTTTTCCAGCACACATCCCCAGCCCCTGGACTCATGCACACCCAGATAGCAATCAGGCACCAAGACCCTATGCTGGACACTCTCGACCTGGCCTGTGAAGACCTCCATCTCCAGTGCCTGGAGCATTTGGGAAGGCTTTGTGGTGAAGGCAGCCTCCTCCACCTTCACTGTGCCAACGCCAGCAGCCGACCTCCAGGCTCTTTTGGGTGCTATCTAATGTTCTAGCTGCTGGTGGTCACATGACAGGCAAGGTCTTTGTCCTCAAGTTATTTTCTAGTTTGCAGGAGCAAGGGTATGTTGAGGCAGAACCAAGAAGGAGTAGGCAAAACCCAAGAAAACTAATAAAGGAACAAACCCCATGTATTCAGAGATAAGTGCTATAAAGAAATCAAGTAGTATTTTACAACAGTGGCCAACTTCCTTTCCACCTGTGACTTTTAGGACATGCCCGTCCTCACCCTCTAATACTTTGGAGTCACTTGCCTGCCTTCAGGCTCTGAGAGTCTCATTGCTGGATGCCTTTGTCTCATCCAAAGCAAGGATTCCACGTTTTTCTCTGAAGATGGAGTATAAGAACTTTTGTGAACAGAGGCTTGAGATCTCTTGCATTTCCACCAGCTTCTGGTTGATCCCAATGGGCAAAGGGCTAAGAGCAAGAGAATGAAAAAGCTTTAAAAGCCTCGGTCTGTGACATGGCCCTCAACAGATGGACAGCTTTGAAAAAATATTTGCTTGGCAAAGAGTAAATGAATAGAGGAGAATTATTTCCAGCTGCAAGATAAGGGTTACCTTTAAACCAAAAGGGATTCCCCTGTGTTACTCATTTTTCCTGATTCATCAGATCTGCTGGGATCAGACTTTTCATCCAGGAAGCCAGCACTCATCTTGTCAGGGCTGGTGGAGATGGCCCCAGTGCTTCTTCCTTTGCAGAACTGCATTCTCTTTGGATTAAAAAAACCCAGTTTTAGCTCGAGGGGAGGCCTCTAGAATTCCGAGGGTTTAGCGGCATCAGAGGTAGAGGTGCTCAAAGACTGAGCTTACACTCTGCTTAGCCACCACCAGGTGTCAGCAACTCCTCTGATTTTGATTCCCTGCAAAGGGAAGGAGCGGACCAGGGAGGCAGGAAGGCCGGCTTGGGGCTGGTGGCAGATCCTCCTGAGCCTCAGGTGTGACTGAAGGGGACTCAACTGCTCTTTCAAAGAGTGCTCATGGCTCTGAGGCAGATCTAACCTTGAAGCCTGGACTCAGGGTACCAAGAACAAGAAGTAAAGCGCAGAGTGGAAGAAGGCAACTTGGAGCTTGCTGAGATAAGAATGAGTCCACCTCCCCTGCCTGGAAGTGCGACGTGGTCTGAGGACACATGGAGCAACACACACGTCCACGTGGTGCAGTTCTTCACCTAACTCTTTCCTGTGGGTGTTTACATTTTTTTTTCTGTTTTTTACCAGCAGCTCAGATACCGAAGTTTGTCAATAATTTAAGAAGCTTTATTAGGAAGATTTTTAAGGCTAAAGGCAACCAAATAGATACATACGCTTGCAAGAATTTTTTCATGTATTTAAAAAATAATAATCTTGCTCGACTCGAGAAAAATTCAGTAAGAAGGAAAAATGCAAAGATTATTTGAAAGAGGCCCAAATAAGAGATACAGAGGGTAGAAAGGAATGAAGACCAGCTTGTGTGATGGTGATTCATTTTGCAGAATGAGAGTAAGCTCTCAATATAATAGAAGACAGAATACCTTAGGTGAATTAGGTCGACACAGCTAAAATTGTCTTGTGTTCTGGAGGCCCGCTGCCACTCCTGGGTTCCACAGCCCCTCCTGCTGCGTCCTGCAGCCGGCCAGGCCCAGGTGCCAGGGCACAAGGTGGCCTATGTGCACATTTCTCAGATTCCTAAGAACTCGTGGCAGGGATGCCCCATTCATTCTCTTGGTCACTCCATGTACCTCTCCTGCTTGGCACTTTGATTCTTCTTGTTTCTGTTGTCACTAAACAAGGTCAAGGTCAAATCTGCAAGGCTCGCTCTGGTTAGTCATGTCTCTGTTGGGCTGGGGGTGCACAGCAAGGGGCTGTGGCTGTGTCCTGAGTCTGAGAGGTGCAGGTCGATTACACTGCGACAGGGGACCCGCCCTGAAGGCCCGGATGGGAGGCCCGACTCTGAGCCTTTGGGAGGCTTGAGACAGGAACCTCTGAGGGGCTTTGTCCCAAACGCACTCATGAAGGCCCAGCCCAGGGCTTGGCTGGGGAGAAGCAGAAACCACCTGCTTACAAAATGGGGCGGAACCCCCTCTTACCCAGCCCCTCACGGGCAGGCAGCAGGCTCCTCCCTCCCTCAAGGTCCCTTAGGCAAACCAACCCTTGTCCCTACCCGGTCGTCCCTCCAGTTACAGTGCACCCTCGAGTTACGACCCGCCCAACATATGAACAACTAGAGTTATGACCGGAACTTTAGTTTTAACTTATGAACAAAGTCTTGAGTTATAACCCGAATGCTGGCCACCTGTGCTTCCAGGTGGTCTCAGATACAGATTTAACCCTTAGAGAGTTCTGGAAGGAACATGACAGCATCCTTTCCTGTGTGGGGTTAACTGAGAAATCCTGGCCCAGTGTCTCTCTGAGGACACTGAGATCCGCCTGTGTACAGGAGAGAGACTGTGAAGGCTGTGTAGAGGAGCCTGAGCCTTCAATTGACCACCTTGAGTTACAACCAGCCCTTGAGAATGAATTAAGTTTGTAAGTCAAAGATTCACTGTACTATATCTTTAGTCCTTTTTGTTAGCACTCTTATAAGTCTAATTATATGATGTAGTTACATATCAATGATTCATGGGAGGTGGAGGGAGAGGAAGGAGGTTCAAAAAAAAGAATCAAGACGTGTCCTGTACGTGTACCAACTCCCCATAATGTAATCATTATGTACTACACACATGTGCCATTACAAATAAAATAAATTTAGCAATCTCATATAGTATTCAAAAAAATTCGTACACTGTGCAACACATTTTATTACATTGCCATCTATAGTATGCAAATCTATTGTTTTTACAAATTTTCCTTCAAGATGGATCGTACCTTTCTTGAAATTTAATATAATTTTTAGCCAAGGATTCTACGTTAGTGGGATGCTTCACAGGTCCTTGGCAATTGAAAGCAGAAGTGTTCCATTCGCTGATCTCGGTCTATGCTTCAGCTCCCCGAAGCGAGTTTCTAAGGCAAATGAGAAATGCAGCCTGCTGCCTCTGCTGCCTCAGTTGTGGCTCTGGTTGAGATGGCTCAATTCCCTGCCTTCCCTTTTCCTGAAGCTTCCCTTTGCCGATGAGGAATGCCACGCCTCTGAGCCCTGGAGGGTGATCTCAGCTGCTAACTATATGCTAAGACCCAGCAGCCCAAAAGAGGACGTGGCTCTGTGGCCATCTGGGAAATGTCAACCAGTGGCTTTGTTTCCCCTTGTGCAGTCTCTGCGGCTTCTTCTACATAAGGAGGGTCAAAAGGGAAGGCAGGTGAGTCAGGGACACGGACTCGCGGGTGGGGATGGGTGGGGCACTTCGTGAATATCTTCCTATACCTTTGATCTGCTGGCTAAAATTAAAAAACATTCATTTTTGTCCATTATGAAGAGAACCTCAAAAAGAACTGAAAGGAAGGACGCTCAGAAGGAGCCGGGCTGAAGCGTTGCTGGGCAGGGGTAACATCACAGCACTGCCATCACCCGCCAGACGGAGGCCACGGCCAAGCCCCGGGGTGCAGTGGGAGGCTGTCCCCCTGCCCCTGCAAAGTCAGGCCAGGCTGGTCCAAAGGCAGCGTGATTGGTCAGTTGTGGTAATTTACTACTCCACGTAGCCAGTGCTTGCCGTGGGCCGTGTACTTTACATGACCACCATATTTAATCTTTGCTACAACTTTTTAAATTAATTTTAAAATAATTTTATTATTAATATTAATTTTTATTAATTTTAAAATGTATACATTTTAGGTATGCAACATAATGACATTCATCACTGGGAACTTGTACCTTTACATACTCTATCTTCGTTCTTATTTTTTCCCCTTCCCCTGCCCTCCCTTCAACCCCTCCACCCTCTCTATTTACAAAGACTTTGTTTCCATTTTTTCCTTTTCTCATATTAATTCCATTCCCTTTTGAGCATATAACTATCTTCCTTTAGTAGAAAAGGAAGTTCCATGTTCATAGCAGCACAATTTACAACAGCTAGATGTTGGGAACATTATACATGCCCATCAACAGATAAATGGATATGGAAAATGTGTTTATACACCATGGAGTACCATGCTGCATAAAAGGAAGATAAACTTGAGGCATTTGTAGGTAAATGGTTGCAAGTTGAGAACACAATGTTAAGTGAAATGAATCAGAGACAAGCTCAGATACCGCATGTCTCTCTTACTGTATATGAGAAACTATGTATATGTATACACAGATACAAAGAGCAAAATGAAGAGAGAAATAGAAAGTAGGGAGAAGATGAAATACTTCCTCAAATTACATTGCTTTAAAAATGTTTCAATATATACACTTATTTCATTTCTACTACGAGTTTATCTTAGTTCATCGAGAAGAAAGTTTTGTGTTATGTCTTTTTTTTGTAAGAATCTTTCTGGGTTATGTCTTGAACATTGAGTAATTTGAAGACAAATGATACATAGTGTAGTAACTATTGTTGTTCTCTTAATATTCGATTATGTGAAATTTTGTTTTGTTTTTTCATAAAATTAAAAAAAAAAAGAAAAGGGAGTTGGAGCTCAGAGAGGTGAGGAGAGAAGCCCTCAGTCACACAGCCAGAAAGGGGAGGGTTCGGGTTTCAAATCCTGGTGGGATGTCAGGTGCTTTGCATCCTTGCCCTAATTTTATCCCCCTCTGGCTATAGCTGAGAAAGGACAACTTGTACAGCACCTCTGAGTCTCTGTGTTGTCCTTAAAATAAGGGGACAAGGCAGATGGTCCAGGACGGCTCTGTCTCTGGTGGCCGCTGCTCACTGCCCGTGGCTGCTGGTGCCTGGAGCCCTCGATGTGGTCAGGCAGAACTGACCAGGGTTGTAAGTGGATAACACCTGCCCTGTTCCAAAGACTCCATACAGAAAACAGCCCTTGACACGTCTCAATGGTATTGTACATACTGGTTACTTTTTAAATGATAACATTGTAGTTAAACTATACTGTTAAAATTAATTTTTCCTGTTGATTTTTACCTGAGAAAATTTAAAATCACGTGTTTACTAGAAAATTTAAAATCACATGTGCAGCTCACATGTAATTATATTTTCATAGGACAGTGTCTTCTAGACTTTTCTTACCTTTCTTCTTTTTTAGGGGTACTGGGGATTGAACCTAGGGCTTCCACACTGAGCTATACGTATCTTCAGCCTTTAAAAAAATTTTTTTTGAGGTAGTGTCTCATTAAGTTGCCCAGGCTAGCCTGGAAATTGTGACCCTCCCGCCTCAGCCCCCCATAGACTTTTTTTCTTCGGATGTATCCCTGAGAGTCTTGGATCTCCAGAGCTGACTTTCCTTTAGGGCGCCTGGCATGTGTTTGGAGTTGACGATGAGAGCAGGCACTGACATGAGGAGAAAGCACAGCCAGAGCTATCCATGGGTGTAGTATTAGCTCTGACAACCAGTACCAAATTAGCCACACAATTTGGTTAAAAATGGACTTGTATTTGACACCACACCAACTAAACAAGCAGGTAAGAATGCTATTTTGCCCTTTGAAGCAAGGGTGACCACCATTGCAAACACAGGTGAAATCTTTTTACCCGTACGGTTTCATATAATTCTCCTAGCAATCTTGCAAAGTAAACTCGATCATGCAGATGATGAAACCAAGACTCAAGAGAGGTTAACTAACTTGCCCAACATCACAGAACTTGTTAGTGATGGGGCTGGCTCACATGAGTGTCTGATACCAAAGCTTAGAATTATGGTCGTTAGGTGAGACTCCCTAACCCAAATGTCCTTGGTTTCTCCAATTGTGAGCAAGTGAAAGACAGGAAAAGGCATCTGTTTTGTGGAAGGGTAGCGGTGCTGGCAGAACCTCTGTGAGGAGCCTGCTTGTGTCAGCCTGGAAGGACCTGCTGGTCACCATCTGCCCCTCAGGCTGAGGTGCTATTCTGCTGGGACCCCAGTGGTTTAGAGGCCTATGGTTCTGTGGCTGTTCACATGCAGACAGCAGGGACATAGATGGAGACAGTGATGTACCACACAGGAAGCCTACAAAGGTACTGGGCGATGCTCTAGGTACAACTATGAGAGAGAAGCCACTCAGTGATCAGAACATGAAAAGTTAATATAAAGAATTAGACATATGCTTAGCATGTGTGAGGTCCTGGGTTCAATCTCCAGTACCAAAAAGGAAGAGAGAGGAAGGGTGTGAGGGAGGGGGGGGGGAGGAGAAGGAGGAGAAGGAAGAGAAGGAAAAGGAAGAGGAGGAAGGGAGGGGGAGGAAGGAAAGGAAAGGAAAGAAGAAAGAAAGGAAGAGAGAGGGAGGGAAGGAAGAAAAGGACCAAAGGAAGGGAAGAATTATTGACTATAATAGAGGAGTAGAATAATGGGAATTGGCTAGGAAAAAGTAAAGGAAATGTTAGAACACAGGAACGGACTGTATAAGCAGCAGCCATTACACTCAGTGCTGAGGTAAAGGCCCAAGGAATGTCTCCCCTTCTGTCTCCTTCCTCCAAGGACTGAGACCTGGATGGTGTTGGAGAGAACACGGCCATGCCCCGCACTGGGTGGAAAAAAGAGTAGGTGACTGGTGGAATTTGATGGAGATTCGCTCTCTGGAACTTCGTAGAAGTCAATTCTCTTGTGTGCTAGAAAGCTGCTCAGGGGGAAGTGACTGGCCATGCTGGGGAAGCCGGTAGATGTGGGATTCTGGGGAGCCTGGTGTAAAAGACTCTTGCCTTCTGGATTTGGAAAAGCTCCTGTGCAGATCAAGAGCACCAGAACCTGGGGAGAAACCCCATCCCACTGCAGTGTGTCTGCAGGGCTGTGTATTGGCCAAGACAGCACGGTGCCAACTGGCAAAGGAAAAGTGTTTGAAGGGCTCAGATACATTTTCGCAGAGCAGGCAGTGAAGGGTGAATTTGGAGCTGAGAGGCAGTAAATTGATAACTGGCAAACCATAGAAGACTGGTCTTTATACCATAAAATACGTAAGCCATATTGAGGGGCACTTGTCCGGGGGCCCTAATTTCTAGCTCAGTTATCAACCATCCTGATAGTCATAGTTTTGAGAGGTTCTCTAGGTAATTTTGATGGATGAACAGCTGCTGTCAAATTTCACTTGGATGATGGCAGTGGGCTCCTAATTGCTGTCCCTGTATCCCTTCTTATTCCTGTATCATCTGTTTTTCACATGGCTGCTGTATGAGTCTGTTTTCTCTTGCTATCATAAAAGACCCAAGGCTGAAAGAAAAAAAAAAGAAAAGAGTTTTCTTAGCTTACAAATTGAGGAGCTGGAAGTCTAAGACTGGGCAGCTCCACCTCTTTGGCTTCTGTGGGGGTCCTCTTTGGCTGTGTCACTGCACAGTGGAGAGGCAGAAGGGGAAATGTCCACATGCAGGAAGGGCCAGGTGTGAGAGGTGGCCTTGCTTTATCTCGGCCCATTCTCACTGTGAGAGTGAGAGGATGTCCAGAGAGCAGCATAATACTTTCCAGGGCAAGGCCCCCAATGACAGAGCCACACCACACTGGGCCCAGCTTTTAAATTACCCCACCACCCCGAGACCGAGCCTTTGGCACATGGATCTTCAGGGTACAGACCCTCTCCACACACAGCAGCAGGCAGGTGGCCCTGCTGGAAGTCAGGATTTGTTGCCCATCTGCTCAACACCCCCACTTCCTCCATCTCCACCAGAGAGAAGCTCAAGTCTCTGTGGGGCCCTGATGGTGTGGAATCCCCACTATCTCTCCTGCACCTGGGCCACTCTGGCCGGTCTGGTACCATGAACACCCCAGGCTCATCCCACCCCAGAAAGTGCACGCTACAGTCCTCCTGCCTGGTGGGTTCTCCTAGATTTCTGCAGAGCTCCCACCCTGCCTAGCCTCTGGTCCCTGCTTGGTTGATTTCTTCTTGGTGACTGCTCTGGCCACTCTGCAGTGCAACTTTCCTTCTCCCCTGCATGTCAGGTCCTCTCTGTCCTCTTCCGTGGTTGATTCTTCCTCCATAACACTATGTATGTATTATTCCATATTCCATGTATTTATTTTGTTCTTCACTAGAACATAAACTCCATGAAAAAAAAACGTTTTTTATCTCTTTTGTTTACTTCTGTACTTTCTGGGACCTTGAATGGTGCCCAGGACAGTAATTGCTCAATGAATATTTGTTGGATGAATAAATGCAGCTGCACTCTGAGAAATTTCTCTGTGGAGTATGGAGATTGTGTGGAAGCCGCAGCAGTTCTGACACTTTAGAGTCTTCATATACATAAACACAGCTCTGGATAAACAGAACACTTCTCTTCTACTCAGAAGGCTGGAG